ATTAGAAAGTTCCAATAACTAAAATAGGAGCTCGAGTGATGTATTTCAAAACAGCTTTTCCATTATAATACGTTTTTAATACATTTTGCTAACTTTAATGTAAGATCTAACTAACTGCACAGATACAGGTTTCTCAGAGTGCTGGGATTCCCAGCATGCACTGAGTCATGAATAAATAATAATGATTGTTATCATTATAATAATATGATTTTGTTATCAATCTTGTGATGTCAAGATGAGTTTCTCAGACTCAAAATGATGAGTTAGTTGTTTTTCATGTGAAGGTCTATATGTAGGTTTTTTTTTTTGTGTGGTCTTATGAGTTGTCATGTAATGTTAAGTATTGTTAGAAGTTTAAGACACCAAACAAAAGGAAACATCAGATGAACATTATGATGAACATAAGATTAAAGGACATAATATGTGTAACAACGTTCGTAGTTCGGGAAGAAGGAGGCGGGAACCGGCGGACATTTAAACAATTTAATAAAATAAACAAACACAAAACGAAAGTAAAGCGGCAGCCCCCCGCGGACGACTGCCGCACACAAAACACAAAATAAAGTCCAGGCCTGATCATCTCTCGTCCAACACTGTCGTCACTCCTCCTTTTATCCTCCCGGAGCTCCTCCGTGGGACTCGAGACCGGTGAGTGGTGCAGGTGTCGCGCATTAGCATTTCCTCCACCGGCCTCGCTCCGTTCCCACGGCCCTCAGCCCCGCCCCTCTCGTCACAATATGACTTACATTAGATTAGATGAAACACATAATATGGTTTAAAAAATGTTTTTGAGATTGAAATTAAAAAGGCTAATATACAATGTTAGGGGTCAGTGCGATTTATTATAATAAATTATTATTATGATTTTTTTTTTTCCATTTTATGTTTATTTTGAACATTCATTTGAGTACAATCATATAGCATATTTCAAGTTACAAACAATGCTGAATGCATATAATGCTCAATGCATCCAAGTGTCTTTACAAAATATAGACATGTATAATTACCTAATGTGTTTTAAATATAAATTATACTCAAAATGTGTTAAATTGTATCAAAGTACACATTTTTGTTTTTATAAAGTAATAAGTAAAAAAAAAAAAAAAAAGTAACACAAAAAGTAACTATATACAGTACATCCAGGTTTAGAACATGTGTCCTAATTCAGTTCCATCCAGAATTACCTCAAATGACTTTATATATAAAAACATATATAATGTTATAAATGATTTTGATAAAAAAAAAAAAGTGGTTCTTTTAAACTTTTAAACTTTCTATTTATCAACCCATCCTATCACAGCTTCCACAAAAATATTTCCAAAGCAGCAAATCAGCATATTAGAATGATATCTGAAGGATCATGTGACACTGAAGACTGCAGCAATGATGCTGAAAATTCAGTTTTGCATCACAGGAATAAATTACATTTTAAGATATATTACAATAGAAAACGGTTATTTCACAATCTTGCTGTTTTTATTGTATTTGTGATCAAATGAAAGCAGCCATGGTGAGAGTAAGAGACTTCTTTCAAAAGAATTAAAAATCTTACCAACCCAACACGTTCGTTCATTTCATTACTTTAAGGTTGCATGATGGCATTTAAGTTCATTCACATTATTTGCTTAAAATGATTAAATAAACAAATTGAACTAAAAGATATATTACAATAGAAAACGGTTATTTCACAATCTTGCTGTTTTTATTGTATTTGTGATCAAATAAAAGCAGCCATGGTGAGAGTAAGAGACTTCTTTCAAAAGAATTAAAAATCTTACCAACCCAACACGTTCGTTCATTTCATTACTTTAAGGTTGCATGATGGCATTTAAGTTCACTCACATTATTTGCTTAAAATGATTAAATAAACAAATTGAACTAAAAAATCTTGTAACTGTTGCTTTCATGTTTTTTATCCAATGAACACAGTGAAGGAGAGGAGAAAGCGTTTAGGCAGCTCTGTAAGTGCTGGCGGTTTCTGATGTCTCTCAAGCCTGGAAGCTGCGCTAGGCTTCTTATCTCCTCAAGCGTCATGCCACTCATCGCTTCATACATTCCTTCCTCTTTTTCACATACTATACTTCCCTCTGATTTATAAATTGCTTATCCTGTCTCATACCACCCAGATTCCTTCACTCAAGGGGCATGTTTCCACTCCACCACCTTTGTGATGCTTATCTGATAATAGAAGTCATGGGGAAAATAATCTACATTTCTCAAAGAGCCAGTCACACGCCAAACGTTATGTCATGACGGTAATAAAAAATGTCTTTAAAGCAGGCTGCCCTCCATAGGGTCAACTGGAACATCTGGTGCCATTTTGCTTTAATGATGCATCCAAAAGGGATTTGTAAATACTGACACACTATCTGATGGTGTAATCGTCAGATGCTTGTTGCTTTTCATTCTTCAAATTGGCGTCAAATGTGCATGAAAGCCAATCAGTGCCCTTCTCTGCATTCTTTCAGACATGTATATTGTTGACAGGCAGCTGGTATGTGGATTTTATGCCATGTTATGGTTAGGTGACAGAATGATTTGAGCCTATTAATGCTTCTCAGTGAGCTCTATATAGATCTGTGTGTGTCAAGAAGCTCGAGCGAGAGTTTTATTACCCATTAATAGGGTGCCCAGAGCTCTGGAGAGCCTCAAGGGGAGCGAACATTATGACAACCTATCAACATTGTACCACACACATAGCACATACACGTTCAGCAGATACCTTATTACTGTTTTCTCCAAGTAACTGATTTGATAGTGAATATGAATTTCTGCTCATGAGGAAACACATCTTGTCTAGCTGCTGTGTTTACATCCATTATTAAATTTAAATGGGTAGTTCATCCACAAATTGACAACTTTTATGATACTTCCATAGTGATTTTGTGCCCACTTTCCTAAATGTCTTTCCCTAAAATTTCCGAAAAGAGAACAAACATTTGGGTCATTCTATATTTTAGGGAACATTTCAAGTCCATTGATGATAATTATATTTTTTCTATCCTTTTTCGTCAGAAATATCATGCGTTATCATTTAAGAGTATACATAATATAAGCTCACACTTATATTTAATTGATGAGTCTTGAGTTCAAATTAATAACTAATTTAAATTAAAAAAAATAAATAAAATTACATTTATATCTATATTACATTTGAAACTGTATATCTAAATACCTTAAAAATAGATTTAAGTTTAGATTTTAAATTTTATTTTCTTTCAAATAAGAAAATATTTCATTTTAGTCACTCTGTTCTGTCATGTTACTAATTAAACTCAACAAAATAAAAAAATGGTTTATTACAAAACCATGTGACCAGCATCATGTGATCATATTTGATCTCCAGTGACCTATTGTCAAGTAGTATATTAATTGTCGAGGAGTAATTTTCTTAATTGATTTTTTTTAAAAAAGAAAAAAAGTTTTTCTGTAACATAGTTGACAAACTCACCAATAATGATTAAGCTTGGCAGATACAATACACTAATAAAATATATCAACTACAGGGTGTGCCATATTTATCATCTGCGCTAATAATTGTTATTTTATCGTAGTTGTTATTTTAATTGTGCAAGCTGACTGTAACACAGAGGCAGTAGCGTTAGAATCCATGTGCAGTTTTATTAGATCACAAGGCAGGTCATACAGGCATAAATCGTCACCAGGTGTCAGACACAACGAAGGCTGGGCAGAATCGTAAACAGAGTTCGTTATAAGGGTCAAGGCAGGCGGCAGACAAACAATGGCAAGAATCAACAAGGCCGGCAGGGTCAGAAAAGGTAGGCAGCAAGCAATCGTAATCGGGAAATCAAAACAGGGAAACCGCTCTGAAATGTCTGCTTGGCAAAACAAGACTTCGCAAAGAGAGCAGGGATGGCACAGTATAAATAGACTGGGTAGATGGGGAACACCTGTGCAGGTGATTAGTCTCTGGCAAGGTGCATTGTCGGAATTGGAGTCCGAGGGGATATGTAGTACTCCGGTGATGGTTCCCTCTGGTGGTGATCGGAGGGAGCCACAGAGGCTGAATTTGTGACACTGACGTTATCGTGTATGCCATTTAATTTGCAAAAAAGAAACAAAACACATCTTGAGAGTCCAAAAGCATTTACTGCGTGATTAGAATGCAGTTAAAATGCCCTATAATTCAAGTTATGAATGCAAAAAATATCCCTGTATGGGCTTTTGTGTATATATATATATATATATATATATATATATATATATATATATATATATATATATATATATTGTATATACATGAGATGTGATATAGTTTAGTAATATCACACAACCAAGAGTGCTGTTTTCCCGAATATCAGCGTATAAGCGTGATTTTGAATGTGATATTGATTTTATACGGTAGGTCAACAAACAAGAATACTGAGTTCAATTTTTAAACACAATATTGTCCGTTTTTCTGTTTCACCAATGAAAAACGTTCTAATCAAAGCCGGGGCAGAACATTTGTGCGGCTCAGAGACACACTGCGGTGTTTCGTTCCTGAGTGAATCTAATTTGGAACAAATTTGAGCCAATGATTCAATTATCCATTCGGAAAACAGTCCCTTGCTCATTTCTAAATGAATCAGCCGTTTTGAACGACGAATGGCTTGAATGAATGATTCAATGAATCACTTATTATAACAGGAATTTGCCGCCACCTACTGACAGTTTTAGTGTTACTTTTATTTATCCATGACAGGCCTAAACCAGCCAAGGTACCAGCACAAAAACACACTCTGCAAAATATTGTTTAATTACCATTGTCAAAAAATCCCCAAAAATATTGAGACATAATTTTTTTGTCAATATCGCACGCCCCTAATATCAACTGAAACCAATAGTAGTGAGTTTCACAGTTTTATTGAGAAATCATACTGTATTGTTTTTACGCTTTTTTCCTCATGTGAAGTGTAAGTTATAGAATGACTGTTTTTTTTTTCAGCTGAATTCATAAAAAAGAAGAAATGAACGTATGCTTTTTGTTTGTCCCACAGGAAAATCAAAACCAACTACTTCATCGTCTCGCTGGCGTTTGCTGACCTTCTGGTGTCAGTGCTGGTGATGCCGTTTGGTGCCATAGAACTGATCCATCAGAACTGGATCTACGGTGAGACCTTCTGCCTGGTCCGCACCTCTCTGGACGTGCTGCTGACCACCGCCTCCATCTTACACCTGTGCTGCATATCCCTCGACAGGTAAAAAACAAACGCCCATTTCATTTCAGGATTTTCATTGTGTATAAATCAAGTGCTATGAATTGAAATTCCATAAATGTATAGTCTTGACACATGACTGCAGTTGCTGTTGTCATGGCAGCCATTAATTGTTTCACCACAGAGGACTAGCACTTGAGAGTTTAGTTCTGTGGACTGTGTAGGGATGCTGTTTCCATGGCGATCTATGTGCGGCCACACAAAGTCCCTTGCCAAGTAAATCATCCACCAACACTGTGATTATGAACCTAATAAACTCTTAGAGTCGAGCAACAGGCAAGCGGTTAAAAATATGTGAAATGGGACTGAGGAACATCTTGTTGTTGGACAGAGCGGGGTTTTCAGACTAGAGGAGCGCAAAGAGATGCTAATGGCTCCAGGGAACATTTGAGAGAGAGAGAAAAAACAAGTATTTTTTTAGGCAATGGGTGTTCAAGAAACATTTCTTGTTATAATCAGTGTTGACAGTGCTGCTTAATATTTTTGTGGAAATCGTAATTTATTTTTTATACTTTGATTAATAGAGAGTTTAAGAGAACATAATTTATTTGACATACAAATCTTTTGTAAAATTATAATTTGTATTATTTTGTCAAATGTTTGACTGAGGAACATCTTGTTGTTGGACAGAGTGGGGTTTTCAGACTAGAGGAGCGCAAAGAGATGCTAATGGCTCCAGGGAACATTTGAGAGAGAGAGAAAAAACAAGTATTTTTTTAGGCAATGGGTGTTCAAGAACATTTCTTGTTATAATCAGTGTTGACAGTGCTGCTTAATATTTTTGTGGAAATCGTAATTTATTTTTTATACTTTGATTAATAGAGAGTTTAAGAGAACATAATTTATTTGACACAAATCTTTTGTAAAATTATAATTTGTATTATTTTGTCAAATGTTTATATATATATATATATATATGTGTGTGTGTATATAATACTGTTAACCAGTTTTAATAGTAAGAAATGAAAAAAGAGGAATACACCTGACATTACTCTCATAGTGCATAGTCAATCGATGCCAGCCTAATTGAAAGTAAATATAAAAAAATATTTTTAAATATTATAATAATTTACTACTTTAATTCGTTTTGGACTTTAGTACAGTGACATAATTTGTATATGATAAAGCTTTCAATAATTTATTAAATTAATTAATAGTTTTCATTTAAACAATAAAACAATAAAAAATAAAATATAAAAAATATAACCGTTTTAAGTTTTAGAAGCAACAAAACGTTTTTCTTTTAAACAAATTGTGTTTTATACATGAAAATATATACCTTTATTTTAGGAAAGGTGTCCCCCAGAGGGGATCAGCATATTTAATCGTCCAAAACATGAAAATCTCAGATGTAGCAGATGCTTTTATGCGAAGCAATTTACAGTAGTCCTATTAAAGAAAAAATCCCCTGGATCAGCCTGGAGTTAAGTGCTTTACTTAAGGGCACATTAGTGACAGTATAGGTAAACAATTCTTATGTTCAGTTTTGCATATGTTTCTGATTTATAATGCATAAATGCTGTAGGTTTCATGAAAGATTGTTGCTCTTTGTGAAACATTAAGGTTGTTTGTTAAAGTGTCTATAATTTTGTTCGGCTTCTGTCCGCTTGGCTAGCCGTTTGAGGCTTTTAAAGAATTACTGTAATAACCACAAGAGCAAACAACAACAACTGTTTTTCTCAGTCTGAGCTTATCTTTCTTCTGCATATAACTTTAATGGATAATTCGTCTAAAATCTGTGAATGGGCATTCAAATGTAATCCGTTTTATTCTTTGACATTCTATTTAGTTTCTTCCCTTGTTCCTGCCAGAAGCAAGCGCTCCATTGTGAATGTTGAAAAGAAAAAATAAGAGGTACTCGACGCGGTTTAGTATCTCAAGCATCTTGTGTGACACTGGCACATTGTAAAGCTACTCCATTTAGCTGTTCAGTAAAGCACTAAGCATTAGTTTGCATGAACCAGCCTTTCAGCTCTGGCCCTTTACCCCAGAGTGATGCATTAGACCTCAGCGCTGATATTCAGGATGAGCTTTGAGTGCTCAGCTGCTTCCCTAGTTTACGTCATTTGGCCCCTGAAGTCACACAGGCCGCCTTCCAGTGCCTCGCTCGTTAAAGGAGGCCTGAGGGCTCATCGAGAGGAGGGGACTCATAATATTTGGTTTGCTCTTTCTTCATTTGACATGTACCTCTCTCTCTCTCTCTCTTTATTCTGGCCTACTTTTCCACTGACTTGAGAGTCAAATAATGTTGTAACTATCTAGTTGCTACATAGCCTGCCTACAAACAAACATACGATATTGCAGTCTATGCATGCCAGTCTTTGCTTCTATTTCTTCTAGTAATTTTCTTTATGCCATCATGAGCTGCTTTTGATGCAATGGCCATCATGTAAACATTTATTTAAAGGGTGTAGGGGTTTTCAGCTCAACAGGGAAATATTTATGACTAATTATAACTGGTTATGATTAATAATAAATATTTAGATTATATCTTCGAATTAACTGTAGCAGAATCAATATTACAATTATTTGATCTGTCCATCCACCGAGCAGACAATATAATCATTTATCAATTCAAGGAACGATTATTTTCCTGGCCAAGGAAGAATAAACTGTCCTTCTTTATGCAGTGCTAGCAGTAATTTAGCAAATGTAGCAAGGGTTCAAACATTCATAGACTTCGAATCGTGAGCAGCAAACAGAGACAATCAGTTGTGAATATAAGGGATTTAATAAATGAAACTATATCTAACATATAACTAAGCAAAACACATATACAGTGGGGCAAAAAAGTATTTAGTCAGCCACCAATTGTGCAAGTTCTCCCACTTAAAAAGATGAGAGAGGCCTGTAATTTTCATCATAGGTATACCTCAACTATGAGAGAAAAAAGGAGAAAAAAAAATCCAGAAAATCACATTGTAGGATTTTTAAAGAATTTATTTGCAAATTATGGTGGAAAATAAGTATTTGGTCAATAACAAACTGAAGAAGGAAAAGTCCACAGCGACTAAAGTTACTTGAAGATAAAATCTGAGTTTCTTTTATCTATTGGGCACAAAAGAAGATTTTGAACTAACTGAACAGTTGATGGTAGCTATTGACTTGCAAAGTTTGGAAAAATAATATGGAAGTCAATGGCAATTAATTCGATGAGTTGAAGTAATGGAAAAACATATGGGGACATGACATTACAGTGCATAGAGTTCGTTTTTGACCCAGTAAAATAGAGTACAGCTCAAATATGTATGGACAAGTTCAACTGACAACTGAATTTGAGTTGGCGTAGCTGTCCCCGTCTCTCTCTGTTTTTTTTTTTCATATTTGATAAATATATTAAAGTAGTTTTTCATTTTTTCTTGTTGTTAACTTTCAAAATAGTTTTTAAATATTATTGGATGTCACTGTTCCCACCAATCCTTGCACAAGTTAAGGTTACGCATGATGACGAAAGCACGTTAGTGCTAGCCCTCCCGGAACTCATAGAAATTGCATTGCAGTGCCTGCGGTTCAAAAAAAATTATCTTTGCATGGAAGTCTATGAGAGCATTCGGGGTGATTCTCAGTCTGACAGAAATCGCCCAAAAAGGGGCGGTACTACACAAAACGCGACTCGACGCTGATTGGACTATTTAGAGGCAGAACAAATTCTAGAATAGTGAAAGCTAGCATAACACTGTGGTTGAATGTTAAAGAAAAAAAAAAACCTTTCGCGCTTTGGTGGTGCGTCGCCCAATCGCCCTAATGGAGAAACCACCCCGGCTTTAAGTACAAGCACATTCAATACAATTTAGTGCACTTCGATATAAAATAATTTTATTTTAGACAGACAACTGGAGCCACCATATAATGCGACATGCAGAAACTTAGGGGCTTGTACATAGTCGACTTACAAGTAAGAGCTCATGAATGGAACACTTCCAGATTGGGCAAAAGGAGAAACTTAGCCAAAAGTCCAAGCTGCTCTCTTCTAGGGCTGTGTTCAATACGACGATGTATCGTCACAGGCACTTGGTGATATGGATATCGATACAGCTGTTTCAGTATCGATATCACGGCACGTGCGCAGCAGTTGGACCACACTTAATTTGAATACAAGAACAGCATTTAAAACGGAATTGAAAAGTGCAAGGTTTCTAAAAAAAATTATGAATAGATAGAGTATAATATATAGGCTACAGCTAGGTTTAATCTGGCTGCAGTGGAACCTAACCGGGTTGCCCGATATAAAGAGATGTAATCCCCGAAACAGAGCTTCACACTTGCACAATACGGAATTATCTGATAAGTGTGTTACTTTTTTTGTCAACCTGACAACCATGTATACACGCTCTCTCTCTCCGCTGTGGAAAAAAGCACTGGCTTTCTGAAAACACTGGTAAGTTTGCAGTTTAGCGATCTCCAACAGCTATTCTATTCCCAGAAGTGTAATTCATCAAGTGTTCATTTACAAGAGAGAGACATTGCATTTAAGAATTGCCTCTGTTTTTCCTGTATTTCTCTATTAACAGTGAAGCGGTGGCTTTAATTGCTTCAGAAACGATGTTACCAACTCTTTGTTGAGAAAGATATGGGAGCTCTTCAGCAGTAAAGCTCCTTTATGAATGAAATTGTAGGGCAGCGCTGAATAAGAGACTGAATCAGGGTTGCCAGGTTTTAACAATAAAACCCACCCAATTGCTACTCAAAACTAGCCCAATCACATTTCGAGGGGGGTTCCCCGTTACAAATTGCATTCCGAGGGATAAAATACACGTTTTTTGGCGGTGTTCCCCTTGTAAAATATGCATTTTAGAGGATAAATATCACGTTATTGGGGTCGCTTCAACCCACGGACATGAAAAACAGTGTTAAAGTAGCAACAAAACTACTGAATGTGGCAACACTGGACTGAATGTGTGCGCGTGAGCTACAGTGAAGACATTATTATATAAAGCACATTATTAGTTAAGAACACTTCAAATTTTTGTTTTTATTATTTT